GGTGGCGCAACTTCGTGGATTGGTTGAAGTTAGACGTTAACACCGTTGGATGCCGGCCAGCCCAGTGGTCTAGTGGTTAAGTGCTCGCGCGCAAAGCCAGTAGGTCCTGGGTTCGAATCCCGCGGGGTGCGGGATCGTGGGTGCGAACTGCTGAGGAGTCCCATACTAGGACGAAACGGCCGTCTAGTGCTTCTAGGTTTTCAGTGGTGGTCTAGCTTTAACTGACTCATGATTTCAATCTGTGAAAGTTTTCTAAAATCTCCACAAACCCCTTCTGATTATACATTTTGTGATAATTTTAGAGGTAGTGAAGGATTCATGGAATTAAGCAGTGATAAAATAGGTTACGTAATAATTGAATGGAATTTGAAAAGCTAACAAAATTTGAGAGGGTAAGTGGGCGGAAATGTTTGAATAAAAAGTTGGTTTACGAGTTCGGTAATAAGGGAGGAGGGGATTATAACACAAAATAAATATTTTAAAAATAATTAAGACTACGTAAATAACCAACCAATAAAATATAAAATAAAATGGATTACCAGGGTAATAATTAGTTAACTACTGTCTCTTTCTGAATACATAAATCCAGTTTAAGTTTTCTTATCGCGATCTCTTCGGCAAAACGGAGAGCAGTCGTACTTTTTTGTCTACTGATAATTTTAAAGGGTGCAGAATATTGATAGTATGCCCGGTGTCAAGTAAATGCCGAACCATTGCACTATTGAGAGCTCTAGTCCCTTTCAGCCTCAAGGTTTTTGGAACATGCTCAGAAATCACTTTGATATGTATTATTCTGTAAGAAATGATAGTTTACTATATTCAAATCAAGGAATAATTACGTCTTCATATCATGTCTACTAAAAAACAACATGACTATCATTATATTTCACTAATGATCTCATTATTTTGTGTTTTGTCTTTTTTTCTTTTTACAGTAATTATACCAGCATTAATGCAAACAGCTGCTGCATATGTATGGGCTGCACAAATACGTCGTGAATCTGTGACACCAACACAATTACAACAATCTAAAAAAAATCAATCTATATCAAAAAATAATAATAAAATTCAAAAACAAATTAAAAAGCATAGATTACCAAAACAAGATCGTACATTATTTCTATATCGTATATTAGCTTGTACGGCATCACTTCTTGTTCTTATCTTTTCTACATTACCCCAATTAGTTATTGTTGTTGCTAAGCCACAAATAGCTGATAGTATAGATAAACGTTGGGGCTGGTGTCATGCATTTGTATATGCTGATCATGTGACAAGATGTTTTGCAAGTTATTTAATTGTAATACCATTTTTTTTATTATTTTGGAATTTTTTATTTAGTGAAATATTACCACATCATCATTTCATTATGCGTAATGTATTTGGAGTTATCTTAAAATCATCCATTATTATAGCTTTATTTTCTTTATGTATACCAATACCGATTGTAGTAAGACAATATGAGAAAATGTGTACATCTAATAAAATATGTTTATGTGGACCAACCATGCATGGGATTGCAACATTTATATATTATGATTTTGTTGCTACTCGTATTATTCCAGCTATATTTGTTATATTTATAAGTATTGGATTTTTACGTTGGTTACCTAGAGAAGATTATGGAGTATTTTATGAACCAGCAATATTTTTAGCTTTTATGATACCTCATGTATTATGTGAAGTTATTATACATATATTTCATCGTGCACATATAATCAATAAATTAATTAATGTGAATTTTAGTAATTTTATGCTTTTATCTTATGCATTATATCATATGTCATTTAGTTGTACATTTGTATTGGCTACATTACGTTCAATGTTAAGTGAAATACAAGAGGAACGACGTAAACGAAGTATGCTTTTATATGATGAAACTATTGATACATCGAAACAACCATCAACTAGTCGAAATAAAACTATACGTATAGCTGGTGATAATAATAATAATAATAAAACTAATCAAATGCATGGAACTAAACGTCGTACAAATTTAATACATGGTTTACAAAAACAATTCTCTGTAGCTTATCGTTGGAAACCAGATTTTACTGATGAAGAAACTGGTTTTATTTCTGGACAAATAGATGAATTATCTATGGAACAATCAACAAATCAAAATATTTCTAGTATAAATGAAAATGAATCTAATTTATCAGATATACAAAATGAAACAAATGAAAAGTGTACAGATGATGCAATGTTACATTATGCTATATTACAAAGATCAGCTAGTTTAAAAAGAAAAGAACAAGAACAACGTATAAAACCACAAACACATACATCATATAGTATTATACGAAAATTAAATTCACAACAATGTCAACCATTACAACAACAACAACAGCAACAACGTACCATATTGTATCCTATTAATAACCGATTGAGTTAATTAATTAACATTTCTTATACAAGATTCCTATTTATCAATATGATACACTCCATCGTGACAGAAATCGATACTCATTTTGAAATATATATATATATATATATATATATATATATATATATATATATGTTGATATTTCTCTTAGGATTTAATGTCATAATATCATTTACCCTTCAATATTGATTTAGTTTAACCTTACGGTGAAATTTGTAATATTGATTGAAGTTGTTCATGTTATTTCCGATTTGAATCATTTGCCAAATTTATTATTACATCATCAGTTGTTGGAACTATACTGAATGTAACTAGAATTCATTCTGAAATATATTCAGTAAAATCTATACATTGTATATAAATTACCATTATTCAAACCTTTCAAATACTATTAGTTCTGTGTATGAAAATGATTATAAACAAAATATGAGAAAATAATGACTTAATGTCTGTTATGAATTATCCTATTAGCTTGGTAGTTTAATAGAAGTTATATTGGGTTTCATAAAACATTGACTTGTAAGAACCTGACATGTTCACATAACTGGGGATAATATATTTGATTATGATCACAGTTCCACTCGCTCTGTCATGATATATCTTCTTTAAGGAAAAGAACAGGTGAGTAGATGAAAAGTTATAGAAAACATTTCAGCAGAAAATATCTATAAAAATCCTTAAAATATAACTCGTGATATATACAAAGTATCTACGGAATAATATTGTATGTTAAAGTGTTCATAGTACTTCATACTTGTTAGGACGAGATAAGATGATAGATCATATTTTATTTTATTGTGATTTTTGTTTGGCGCAAAATTTTTTGTATAAATTTAGTTTATACTTTGTTCAATGGAACCCACAACATTCGTTTTGGATGAATTTAGTGTAAAATTCATCTTTGTATTTCTACTATTTCACTTAAACATATTTGTCGACTTATCATCATCAAATGCCAGTAAAACCGGTAGAATGACACTCATCAAGAATCACACTGACTGTTAGTCGATAATTTGTAGATGACGTGTTCTCACAGCGTAGGTGATTCACAATTGTCTTATTCCCCGATCAATCTTACTGTCCTCCACTGAGAATTGTAATTTATTTTGAAAGAGTTATATTTTCCGATGTGTTATCGCTAGAAATATCCCTTAACAGTACATGAGTAAACTGGAAATATTTTCCAATGCTAACCAAACACTTTAGTACATAAGTCGGCTTATATACTGAACAGATTATGAGTATTCAGGTGGATTTAGATGAACTATCTCATTGTATGAATGTATAAAGTTACGTCAAATTACGCAAAACTGGCTATTTAGGTATTAAAGAATTCAATTATCAACCAATAGAATGTATCCTCAAACCTGATTGCAAATAATTTGTCTTAGTCATTGGTTGGTAACACTGCCCATCTACACAGTATAGTTCACTGCCTCGTGAATAAACGTAAACTCGCTAAGCGACTTACATTATCAACTAAATGATTATCCATACCCAAACATTATTACGTTAAATCATAGTAAAACTGTTTTTATAAATTTACAACGACTGGTTAATGTTTCATGTAAGATTATGTTTAATGATATACATATTTTTCCCTTATCAAATCTATAAAACCTTTTACCAAAACGGAAACAGAGATATAGTACACATAAGTGGTAATCTGTGTCATGTTGCACAGTCGCATGACAAAGTACTATGCAATGATTCTTTTTGGTTAGACATAGAATAGATGGAAATAACTGAATTTCATATTTGGACCAACTATAGCTCCTCGTCTACTAGATATAGTTTTGTACACCTGTAGCAAGCCAAGACACGTTCACGATTTGAGCTATATTTATTGCGTTGAAGCTACAGACACCAACTTGATATCAAAAAAATATGTAGGGCAGGTTTGGAACCCGTGACAAGCGGGATGAAAGCTGAGTCCAGTATGAGCCGAAGCTCTACATGGAAAGTAGCAATATAAAGAATTGAGACGACAGGGCAGTCTACCTAAGAGTTGAGCAATATTTCAAAGTTGGAGAAAACAACAATCTCACCCCAGTAGTGTACCTGACTAATATAACAGAAATAAATATTGTACACCATTAGGTGGTCCGTAAATAGAAGGCAACAAGTATTCCGTCTTGTTTTTAGAAGTTAATTACATTGTAGTGACTCACATTTATCACGAGAACACGACTGGTTTAATAAAAACAATTATTATTATAACCAACTGTACCAGTGTTTTAACGTGCTTTTTTTTGACTGTGCTAATGACAACTATTTTGTGCTTCCATTCTTATACTCACACTTCGATTGCAACTTCGCGCGAATTCGGTTACCTTCTGTAACCAAGGTTGTATCCTGCCACGATCTCGGTATCCTTTCGATGCCACGAGATCGCCAGCTAATAAACCTCGACTTGGTCCATTAATTGCCTTCTGGTATTTGACTTCTCGGAGATTTAATGGATTTATTTGGTTACGTCCAACCTTCGCCTTCTGATTAACTTGGCACGTGTTTCTTGGTAGCGGTGTTCGTAGTTAACCTCAAATCGACGCCACGCTACAACACCATGTAAATGGTTTAAAATAAACAGCTTGTTTGAGTTAAGATTACTGATTTGAATATTTGTTAGTTATTGACTAATTTGATCAGAGTTAGTCATTAGTAGGATATTCTGAAACAAAACCAACGATCACGATCTCTAAACAAACATAGCCTCGATAAAGTTATCTGCATTAACTGGAGCCATCTTTCTTAATCCCATTAAAAACACAATAGAATGAATATAAAAACTAAGACTAACTGTAGATTACAAGGCACGTCAATCTAAAAGTCGACAGATGGTAACGGGTTCTACACGTTAAGATGAACATTAATGATAACGTTTATGGGGCTCAAGAAGTAAGTTTCCGACTAGATCCCGAAAAACAATGAACGCTGAGGGTACATTGTCAAAGCAACTTCCTATATTAAACGGAATTGCTAAAACCTGGAACGAACTTAACGCATTACTGCTACTATTATATATTCTGGTATTCTTGAAATGAATAGAAAACTACAAGGTGCCAACTACCTAAACCATATCACAATTGGAAATCGAATATATCGGTCTATAAAATATGCTCTTTGAAGCCATGATTACTAAGCGAAGTGTTCCTATCTTTTTTACAATCAGCAAAAAGCTCACTGAAATTTTACTTTTTCACGCTCCAGGTTAGCTTCTTCTATGGTAGCATCTTCATCTTCTAATTCTTCAAACTCATTTTGCTCATTGTGTATTGATAAGTGAACATTCACGCCAGGTGCTGCTTTAAGATGTTGCGCGACTATCAGTTTAAGTTCTCCTGAAAAGTAATTAAGGGAAACCACCACATACTTATTGTCTGAAACTTGCAATATGTCCCTTCAAACAGGAAAGTGGCACTTGAATTTGGAGGATTTAAGTAAAATGAGTAGTGAGGTGGATATATTTCGATTTCCGCTGACTTTGGAGCTTGGATGGCACGCCGTTCGAAGACTGAAATGTCTGTGTGCGTACAACCATAAAAATCAACAAACAGCTTCCACACATTTCTAGGTATTAACGTGATGTCATTTTCTAAGAGCAAGTTCTCTTTTAATTTTCCATCACCTACGTTAATATAAGACATATATAGACAAAATCCTACATAAAATATCACTGTTATCAACTTTTCCTGGATACTCTTCCGAGGTTTCGTCAACCATCCCACTTTTGGAAACCGAGTCCACAAATTCCTCCCACTTCGTCCACCAGTTAAGAGACAGGATATACCTAGGATGGACAATAGCGACAAGCTAAACACGTTACCATAAGTCTCCTTTTGTTATATCTACATTCATTAACTCATCAACTTTGGCTTTTTGAGTAGCGAAAGTGGCAGCACTTATGCAGTTTCTGAAAATAGAAGTAAATGGGACGTTTACAAGCCTTTGGAGAACAAATTTACAGGTAAACGGTAGATTTTATACACACATCGCCAACTTACTGCGAGACCATTCCTAACCGCAACTTTCTTAAAACAAGCGGTGAAAGTTGCAACGCTCATCATTGCTTAACAGAAACAAAGTCAGTCTTCAGTAATAAGGATAGGAGGTTGGTGAACCTGTAGTGGCATTGAACAATAACCGCACAATCCACAAAGCTGAACACGAGACTACTCAGAAAATAGATATTCAATATTTAACGCGGAAAAATACCTAACGATGGAGAAGGCGCGAAGAATGAATTGAATGGACTGGAGTTGATCGAGTGGCATGGCTCGGCCATGCAGGCGTGGTCTCTGCTGAATGTTACCTTATATCTTCTATTCATATTAAATATATTGTTCTTTCTCTAGCCTAACCTTGTTCTACATCATGTACTGGTAATTGATGCGATACAGTGAGTTGGTGTAGTCGATGGTGTGACTTCCACGTAAGATCTTATAGATTAGGCAGTTATATCATGACAAATCTACAAATTTAGGATAAGGTCTGTTATTAGAGCAGTACTAATATCATAGTAGACCATAATTCTACAAATCTGTATTAATCCTGACACATTGCTTTCCAGTGAAGGTCCAGCTTCTCCTTGAAAATATTCACTGATGGGGCTGATACCACTTGTTCAAGTAAGGCGTTCCAATCATTGACTACTCGATGAGAAAAACGGGACCCCACTTTAAGTTTATTAGATCGTGGTTTATGAACCTTCTTGCTATGACCTCGGAGATTATTAGTGCTGGAGGGAGCAAAAAGATAAGACATATTAACACCCAGATCATAATTAAAGATACGAAATGCCAGTATAAGGTCACCTCGTGTCCTACGATACGACAAAAGGAAAAGGTTTAGGCGTTTTAAACGTTCATCGTAAGAGAGTCTAGAAAGACCCTTCACTAATTTTGTTCCCACACGCTGGACACGCTCAAGGGAGTTAGTATCCTTTATCAGACACGAGCCAGCTGCTTGGATACAGTACTCTAAATGCGGTCTTACATATATAAGATATAAAATTCGAAACGTTTCCCCGTCAAAAGATTTGAACGCTCAGCGAAGTGACCACAACCTTTGACAACAGCTGCTTTGCAATGCGTAGTTGTTTTTAAATCATGACTTATTACTACTCCTAAGTCTTTATGTTCTTGAGTACATGGTAGAGGTTAACCCTCATTAGTATAACGGTAACTATCACCGTGACCGATGTGCATTAGCACACTCTTCTTAGCATTGATTTCTAAGCCCCACTCTCGAGCCCATCCAACTAAATCGTCTAAGTCAGCTTGAAGATCCAGATGATCAGCCGCACTTTTTATTGTTCTCCAGATTTTTACATCATCCGCAAGCAGTAATGTCGACGACCTAAGCAACAGCGCTAACTCATTAACGTGGAGAAGGAAGAACAGAAGGCCTAAGATGGTGCCGTGGGGTACACCACTTTTGACCGGCTTCCAATCGAATAGCGTCCCACTGACCCTCACTCTCTGTCTGCGGTTACGTAAGAAGTTTCCTATCCACTCATGTACACTACCTATTATTCCGAAGCTCGTGAGCTTCTGCATAAGACCTATGTGTGAAGCCTTGTCAAATGCTTTGCCAAAATCTATGAATATCACGTCGACAGACAGGCCGTTATCTAGGGCTACTGTTCAATCCTCTCTCGCAATAAGCAAGTAAATCAAACATGAACGCTTGTTACGAAATCCGTGTTGTTCAGGAGCTAACAGATTGTGTAAATCTATGTGGCTTAGCAACCTAACCCGAATTATCTTTTCAAGTAACTTAACGACTATGCTAGTTAGACTGACAGGCCGGTAGTTAGATACTATCTGTCTCTGATCCTCCTTAATTATAGGACTGACTATAGCGACCTTCCAATCTCTAGGGAGTTGAGCGAATGAAAGGGACATGTTGAAGAGTGTCACGAGAGATTTTGAAATAATGTCCGCAAGAGATGACAGCAACCGTGGATGTAACCCGTCAGGGCCCGGTATCTTACAAGGTTTGAGGTTAGTTATCAACGGACGGACAGTTTCCTCAGTCACCTGTACAGATTCAATGGTTGGTATCTTGGTGTGAGTGGGACAAGTATTTGTTACAATAAACGTAGAGTAGACTTCGCTAAAATAGTTTGAAAAAGTCTCAGCTTTTGCTCGATCTGATTCAGCTAATAAATCTGAATTTTCGTGTGACAGCAACGGGGGAATACCATCACTACGTTTCATTCGCCGTTTAACATACGAAAACAGTCGTTTCAGACAAGTACGGCTATCATATACTAACTGTCGTTCGTAAGTGGTACTGGATTCGGCTATGATTTTCTCACAGACATTACGGAATTTTTGGTACTCACGCTTAAATGGTGCATGACCTGTCAACAAGTCTCCATGAACATACAGGGGTATCTGCTCATGGCTTCAAAATTGATATCATTTTTGATTTTTCAATAACATTTCTGGTGAAGCTATTATTGACGTATTAACAACACGTATGTTTGCTTCGTTATATTACGCAGTTTGAAATTTACGTCGTGAGCTCTGTCCAGTGTAGATATACTCAACGTTATCAAATCAACAATGTGTATCGTAGACCCGAACCCCGGTGGTGTTTACATTCATCTAGGTTGGAGAAAACCTAATTATAGCCGTAGTTGATTTAAAATAGTCTGTTAGGAAATGATTTTAATAGAGAAATGTTTGAGGCTCAGTTTAGTTTCGGTAGTTGTGTTGTAAACCATGTACCGACTCATAAGTGACCGTAGTCTTCAATCCTGAAACGGTATCATCTGTATTTTTTAGGTAAGCGTTGGTTGATTATAGGTTCGTTATTCCGTTTATCGGCTTCATTATCCATAGTCAGCTACTTTGAGTGACATGTTAATTCGAATGAAACAAAAATTGCGATGCTTCCATAGTTTGACGTAGTTGATTGTTGTATTATACAGTCTATTGAAAACAATCACAGTAATTGAAAGGTAGGAGTGAACCTCATAATTTTGGTAATTAGAGTCACTTAATTTTTCATTTCGGTTAATGTCGTTAGGTGTTGAAATCTGAAAACGATTAGTACAGTAATTAGCTCACAGGAGATGTAGTTGAGAGCTTAGGACTTGTGCAATACAGGAGGAATCAAGAGGATGTGACCTTGATGTATCATTTTTGTCATATTACCCCTCGGTCCAACGTACCGCTTTTTGATTTCAGCAATAAATCAGGCAGTGGTGATATAAACTCATTGTAGTAAGCGGAACTCTTCTGAAAATGACGGAAGACCTCTTGCAACTCCCATGTTAGTCTGCTTTAAAGGAGAACATTTGTAACATCTTGGGTTGGTTTGTTAAGAGTTTACCTCAAACAACCAAGCATATACCAAAACAGTATAGTTCAGGTATTGGTTCACTTCCTTATTTTGTATAGGCGTTATATTTCCTATAATCTTATATTGAATGTTGTGAGGCTTTGTTTGTCTGAGTTGGTGTAGACGATGATGTGACTTCCACGTAAGATCTTATAGATTGGGCAGTCATATCATGACAAGTCTACAATTTTAGGATTAGGTCTATTATTAGAACAGTAATGATATCACAGTACACCATAATTCTACACATTAATCTATATCAATCCGTCTAGAAAAAAAAGTATCTTGGAAACAACTGTTATCCCGATTTTTCTTCATCACAGATAAAATGGGTCTTGTACAATATATTATAAATGTCTCCGTGCGACTTGTATCCGTCATGATTATTCTGAATCTACATGCCATCCACCCACATTTTCCTTCTTTTCTTCGTTTGTTCAAGGAAAATTAATTGATGATATACGTCCACTAGTATCCGTAACCACTAGCTGGAAGAACTTATCCCTAATGAAATCAGATAAACAGAACACTTTCACTTACTTTCCTTTGCTAACATTGCATTTCAAATCGATGCAAGTAACTTCAAAATCACTCCCAGTTGTTGTCATTGGCATAGCCTCTTGCAACCAATCACCACCTAATCTCCCGAACCACGCACCACTTTTCAGATACTTTTTATTGAAAGGCTAGTCGTGTACCATATTGGGTGGAGTTATTATGTACCAGTTGACATCATACTGCACGCAAAACGTGTCTTGACAGCAGGTAAACTTTGATCGATAAAGATGTGATCGTGATGAATGTTATATACTTTTTTACTCTCTGTCTATGGCCCTTTGGTTTCCTTGTATGACCACAACAATGAACATACATAACATACTGATAGTGGATTTCCAGCTTTGTGTCGTTCAACTCGCCTCCATTCACCACCTAATGTGTCATCTAATAACATCATATGGTATATATTATGCAACATACCTACTTCCATAGATCGACAACAACCTCAAATTGTCACAGGTTATCAGGTGCATAGATCTCATGTACGTATATATATATCTCACTGTTATCCACAAAAGCTAGACACTCACTCAACCGGAGATGGTTATTCGTAATAATTTAGAGGATGGCAAACCGGAGTTTCCTTCATAGTTGTTCATGACATCAAAAGCAACACTTAAGAGTCAATAGGCGGCTAGTTGGAAAGTTCTAGGCGGAAGGAATGTCGATTAGAGTTAAGAAAAACCTATTTTATTGCATTTGCGGTGTGTAACAGACGTCTTTGTTCGCCAGTTGCGAATATCGGTAATGGATGTAAATGGTAGAATTTCCTGGAAGACCATTTGTGTTGACAGCATATTTGGGGCTTAAGAAACGGTTGGGTATTATGGAGGCCCATAGTTTGATTTTGTCCTCATTTAGATCGACGATATTCGTTGAAGGCCTCACCATTTTTGTGGCCCGAGGATCTGACTCCTATTTAGGTCGTAGGAATGTTTTTTATCGCCTATTCTCGTATATAATCGTCGACTTAAATCGCGTTAGTCAATAACGGAATTAAATAAGTCGAATAACGAGAATTGACTTGAGAATACATATATTTTGTATATGAAGCGAATGAAACAGAGCAGAGCAAAATGACACGCGGGGAAGATGGCTGGGAAGCCAACTCCATTTTAGTCAAGCGTTACTCAGTATTTATAGGCAG